TATTATGTCATTACATTCTGTTAACTCATCTTAATTCATCATTTTAGTTAATTATTGCTAATCTAAAGCGAGTACTTCATTAAAGTAAGAGAAGAATATCCTGTTAAAATTATTAAAAATACATATTTATTTTTTATATTTGCTATAAATATTAAATTATCAATTTATTCTTTTGCTTGAAACTTAGACGTTCCTTAATTGTGACTTCGGCTTCACGCATTGATTGCTTTGCACATTTATGAATGAAAGGAGCATTGTAACTAATAAATATCCAAGTTTATATTATTGAATTAAATAGTGATAATTATTATTTCTCTGTATGAAATCACACGGGAATCAAGCTGATGAAATATTTGCGATTCCTCCATGTGAATTGACGTGTTCAAGAATGCGTAACAAAATATATATATATATATATATATAATATAGACCTTCGAGTCAAAATGGGTTTACGAGTGAACCCAATCCGTTTAATTAACGGGTTGGAATTCCAAAATAGAAACCAACTCATTCATTAAATGGGTCAAATTGGATCAAAAGTTTTTTGAGTTGGGTCATTTATTTACACCCTTGTTAAGGTGTTAGTAATCATTATACTTATTATAAATAAACATATATTAGATAAATATAGTTTTTACTTTTTACTATTATTATTATAATTCCCTTTACAAATAACGTAAGCAATCTCAAATTATCACACAAACCCTCCATGAGAATGACCTCAAAATTATTCCTTTGTACCAACACAATGAAGTATTATACCTTATCATCATGGAACCACCACCTCGTCTCCTTTGGAGATCTGCCATTCTTACAGTTCTTCACATAGCGGTCATTATCAGCAGGGCGTTGCTGAAAGAAACAAAAATGATACACAATGATAAGAAAGAAAAGCAGGGTACAAATGGGATACTAAAGCAATCAAGTTTAAGCTTAAAAAAAAACAAAGGAAGAGTTATGTGGACAGAGCATTTACAACAGCTTTTGCATGGCTTTATCTTACTGTCTATTAATGCTATTTTTCAAAAAAAATTCTAATAAAAATGTGAAATATAGTTTTTTCACAATCATATATATCTCTTAAGTGTGAAAAATATATATAAAAAAAATTTACAATAACCTCAAAAACTAAAAAAAAAAAAAAAACTATACTTCTTACCACAATTCTACAACTAATTTTAAAGGTAATTGCAATCATCTCCAACAAATTTTTAGGCTTCATTTGGAACAATTTTTTTTACTATTTTCTAATAGCAGCTTTCTAGTACACAAATTTTTTTAAAAAGAAAATTTGTATGAAAAAATTGATTTAGAAAGCAGTAAGAAAGCTGTCCCGAACGAAGCTTTGAATTTCCATTTCTTCTTGATGTCAAATTACAATTGTAAAAAAATGTTATTTGTAAGTGTCCACATTCATCCTTTTATTGAGTTACTCTTTAACATTTTTCATGGTAAAAATACAAGAGTTGTGAGTCTGAGAGAGCAAGCTGAGGAAACTGGTACCTTTATGCTGGAGCTTGATAGCATGGATAAAATGCTGATGCAGACGGAACTTACAGTCATTGCAGGAGACCATGAATCATATAAGATATCTGCAAAATGAATTGTAATTACTATATATAAAATTAGCTATTGTAAAAAAAATAATGTATTAAATCATCCTAATTGCTCGAATGATGGTTGCTAACAGATCATTTTGTTTGCTTGTCATTGATGCTTATTCAACAAGCAACAAGAATTTTACTGAGATAAAAAAACTTTTATTTGTTCTTTGTATCAGAATCAAAATTGTTGTTCTGTATTAAAATCTACTTTAATATGCAGGTTTTTCCGGCAGTCCAAATAATGATAATGAATTTTCAGTTTCTACGAGTTAGAAGGCTAGCAGCTGAAGGGAAAGAAGCTATCTGCATGTACATGGTTGTCATAATTGTCATAATGATCACCATCATCATCATCATAGCCAAATCCTAACTATGTCATCATTATCATAGCAATATCCTAACTATTTGTAGAGGTAATTATGAATCTTCATTTTTCACTTATTAAATCTTATTAAGGTGTTAAATTTAGTCTTCATAAATCATTTTGAACAACTTCCATCCATGTAACCTTTGGTACATCTTTATAATCATCGGGTACTAATCTCATCAACTCATTTAACAAGCACATTTTCTACTTTTCATTGGAAATCTCCAAACATAACGACCATTTATCCTCAATAAATGTCACAATAGTATTTTATCTAATATAATCAACCCAAATTTATCCTTCTGAATTTGTCACACATTCATCTTAACATTCTCATTTTTATAACACTAAAATTAGATATTAATGATTTTTATTAAAGGCAATCATCACTAACCTAATAGTAGTATTATAAAATTAAACTTTGTCTCCATGATATCCTCTTATCACACAACTCTCAAACAATTTCTCCACTTGAGCCATACAGCCTGAAATCTAGAATTCTGTATTTATCTAAAATTCATTCTTTTTACATGATAGATCTAAGAGACCCAAATATATAATATCTAGATAAGATCTTATCTTCTAAAAAATATTGAATAATAATTTTTAACACCATATCCACTAATATTATATATTAGTATTACATACTCAATTTTTATTTAATTAATTCTAAAACCTCTATCTTCTTAACATTTCCTTCATAATTTGATGTTTCACTTATTTCACTAGATGTCTTACTAATTCGAACATATCATTTGTACAAAAAAAAAAAAAAAAAAAACACCAAGACAACTCGCTTTGATCATCCTTTGTAAGCATCTTCATAACTAATATAAGGAAAATAAAAGACTCAATGAGGATTAAACCTACAACACTTGAAAACTTAGGTTAGTCTATCATACATATCTCTAATAATATTATGACTTTAAGCGCACAAAATCAATTATTGTGTTACTCGGTCATATGCTTTCTTAAGATCAATAAAATATATAGAAAGATTATTTCTTTATTCTCCAACTTCTCCATCTTAAAACAAAAATCACTTATATAGTAGATCTTTCTAGCAAGAATACAATTTGGATTTCTAAAATTGGCGTCATTTTTTCTAAATCCATATTCTATTATTCACTTCCATAACTTCATTGTCTCAAGGGTAAAGCCACTTATCCTAAAACTTCAAATAGAAAAAAAAAAAAAACTAAAATGAATTAGTTTAATGAAAAAATTGTGATAAATCCCCGAATTAGATCCCCACTACTTGGAGGCTAATGTGACCCGATTTTTGACCCAATAACTCCAACAAAATATTTGCCTACTCTTGATCAAATAGAGCAAGTTATTCAATTAAAGGCCTAGATAGCTCAAATCTAACGCAATTGTTCAAGAGAAATAACCCTTATTCTTGAGTTTCCCCCATTTTGTTTATTAGCTACTTACCACCAATTAAAATAGATAAGTCAAACACTAGTGCAAGTGTTGCTACCTTGTTTTGTGCATCAATATGATAAGAGGATCAAGCCAAATCATAATAATCAACAATGTTCTAATGGTTATGATAAATCAAAAAGCAAGAAAACCAATATCATAAAAGTTGACTCACCAATAAGAACATTAAGGCTTCAAATCAGGTCATCCAAACCCCTCTTCCAATGATTTAAAATAGAAATCTTAATCCTAGAGATAAACATACCAAAAATAAAAACATTTCATTTCAAGTTACTACCCTTTCACTTTAATAACATGTGCAGCGAAATTTCATGAAAGACCAATGTCGCATAAATGAGATCAAGCCAAACATGGTTTAGCCTTCGAAAAATACTGGAAAAATGAATTTGAATAAGGCACTCATGCTTAAAATTTGTCCTTGCAACCCATGATAGCATGCATGCTATAAAGCCAAGTGTTCCTCAATGATCACACATGTTAGCCTCCACAGTGTTGGTTCATTTAATAAGGCAGAAAGCCCTAAATTAATTAATTGAGTTTTGTCAAGAAATTAACATCTTTGATATAGTATGCCCCTTACCTATATGTTTTATCTTGGATGAGAAAACACATTGTTCATAACAGGGACCTAGGTTAAATCAGAAGCCTAAGTCAAGGCATAAGTTTCCTAAGCACCTTGATTCTTGTGAATACTAGATTGAATGATAAAACCATTGATCTATAAAAAATTGGCAAACCATCAACACAAAATTAAATAAACAAATTCTCACAACATCCTTAGTCAACAATTTATTTCTTGCAATTAGTTAGGAGAAGCAATTAAATATAAGAAATTCCACCCAAAGGAAGTCTTGAATCAAGAATATGAAGTTGTCAATGAAAACAGAAAAAAATTTTAAAGTGCAATATCCACCATCTAATCTACCCACAAAAAATCATCGAGTTTTCAAATGCGGACACTCGTTAGCTTTTTAAAGTCCACAATGAAAAATTATAAATAGATTTTGAATGTTATCAAAATAGTCGAGATGACAAATTTTAAATATATTTTGCACTGACTGGAAGCCTCATTCATGATACAATTAGAAATTAAAAATTGGATATCTATAAAATTATAAATTTAGATCTTTTATTCTGCAACCAATATGCAATATAACAGGAAAGTGCCAAATATAACATAATTTCACGTTTGAGTTCACCATTCAATCCTCTTGTATACAGCGCCTTCAAGGAAAAAGTTAAAAATCACACAAAAAGTTCTAAGTTGATATGCGTGACTCGCAGTCTCTTAGCTTGTTGTTTAAAAGAATTAGTCCAAATAATTCAGAAAACCAACAAACTGGATTCATCATTCTATAACAATGGGAAAAAAATCATATATTTGGATCTTGCTTTGCCGAAATTTTTTTACTACTACAGTAATTCAAGAGCTCTCTAATGTTCTTCAGTACTTCCAACAGTTTCCATCGTCACCATTCAATAATCTAGCCTTATCTCTCCAACATCTCCATTGTACTTTTTTTCCAAATCATCACCATCATCTAGTAACCCAATCAGATCTCTCCATATCCAATCACTTTCTGAACTATAACAGCTCCGAAATAAGCATCAAGAAAATCTCTATTCTTAACAATCACCACCATCCAATAATCAAATTGTTAGACCGGTCCAGCCGGTCCTGCAAGACCGGCCCGTGCGAAACAGATCTTTCGCCTCTACAGGAGGCCGAGCCGACCGCAGGAGCTACCGGAGCATCTTTGGAAGGTGTTTTGATGAAGTTTAGGAGGAAAATTGAATCTAAGAATGATGAGACATCGTCAGCATTTTCGACACGTGTACCATCAGGAGACGCCGGAGATCGACGGCTACGATCATGAGTTTATTTTGAGTCATTTTATGTAGTAGTTTATTTGATTTTTATGTTTTTCCGTTTTTGCCCTTATGAATGGTTAGTTGCTATTTTAGCCCAAGGGGCATTTTAGTCTTTTATTTTGTTACCCCCTCAAGGGCTCAAGAAGAGAGTTCTCCACATCCATGGAAGGCCGACCCCGACATCAACCACAGCTTCGTCTTTGATGATCAAGGAAGAAAGGATAAGACGTTGGATGCTCCCTATTCATCCCATGGACTACCCGCCACCGGCTACCACTCCAACGGACTATACTTTGTGCGCCATTTGTCTCCTAGTGGCATCGCTCGGTTGATCTCAATCTCCCTCCATTAAAGTGCCACCAACAAGAGAGTGAGTGAGAGACCCAAGGTGAGAAGTTCTATTTGTTAATTGTGGATTATTGTTTCTCTCCATAACATTACTATCTAATTCTATGTTGTCAATTTGATATTGTCCCATTAATCTAGTTGTAACCACATGCCTTACTTAATTTCGATTTGATAATTCCGAGAACTTAATTCGGGTAAGCATTAATTCTATAACTAGCAAGGCTTTAACAATCTTATATTAAAATCCCCAAGCAGTTCTTGTTCATCGCATGTTGTTTCACATCAAAGGACTATTTAGAAATTTCCTTTTGAATTGTATGCATTAAATAGTTTGTTTTCCTAGGGTTAGGGCATCTTGAATTTGGCTGAAATTTGAGATATCTTTGGTTTAGGTTTTCTTTGGGCTCTAACGGCGTCTAGAGAATTTGGGAGAAATCGATCCTCCTCACGAATTAAGGATCAACTGTATCTTGCTATTTTTCATTTCTATTTCATCAAATAATACAAATTATCTACTGTTTTCGTGGTTTTGTGTGGATTTGTGTGAAGTAATCATGCTGTTTTCCGAAGATTGATAGGAAATACTTGATCTACAAGTGCTTCCTATCACAAACCTCATCTCGGATTATCTTCAAACGCTTTCTGAACCACACCATTATTTGATAATCTAACCTGTTCGATTACAATTCTTTTCTAAAGAGTATGCAATGTAAACCTTTAGCGTCCTGCATTCCATGTGACAAATTTTGTCCAAGGACAAGAAAGTATAATCATAACCCTAGTTTATATCATTTATAATGTCTGTACTTGACAGAACTGTAGTCCAAGATTCCTACACTAATTACGATACAACCAATGCATTATTATCTAAAAATATATTAGGCTAACGTGGTGCAATTACAGATGCTAAGAAAAGTAACAAGCTTTTGAGTAAGACATCATTTCATAACAGCAA